AACTGCTTTCATTGAAGTTAACATAATACTGTTTTAAAGAACAATTTAATGCTAGTTGTCATGCAGAATGAGGCGATGACGACAATGTAAATTTTACACTTTCATCGTTTTCAGTACAGTAGTAATTAGGCGCTATGGTAGTTTGACCTAAGTATATCTTATACTATAAAAGAATGAAATGAGAAGATATTAAATCAGCAAATCTTGTACACATAAAAAGAAGACGCTGAAAAACAGTGTTCTTGCAAACTGTATAATTATCTTTTGTCATCAATGAGCAAGAGCAATTTTAAAAATGCATTAGTTTTTTTTCTTTCTACTCTTCGATAAAATACTTATTGAATTTATCTTTCAACATGAAGAAATAGGAATTTTGTTTTCTGTCAATGCTTATTCATTCTCTAGAAATGAAAGAACTTAAACATCGGGATAAAATTAATGAAACCTTTCTATAAGGCTGATTCAATGTCATACAAACCGAATCTTGTCGTCATTTTATTCGTATTTTTATCGCATGAATTGCATTCATTTGCTTTCCTTCAAACTTTATTCGTAACATGTCCTGAATCAATCTATTGTCTGTCATTTAATATAAAGGCATTGATTTTATTGATAATAGCAAGTGTATATATTATTTGAAGTAGAACTTTATCTATCCTTGAGTTTTTATATTCCATTTAATATGGACGAAAACTTTGGTTACTTAAAAATTATTTTTATTCACAAATCCAATAAAAACAAATATTTTTTGAATGCTTTTTACCATTTCTGTCACATGGTATGAAAATTACTTTCGTTTCTTTTTAAAAAGATTATTATTAAATTGAAAACTTAATTTGAATTATTCATTTACTGAATGCATAAAAATCATATAAAATTACTAGTTGCTTGTATATAGTTTAATTGTCTATATATTACTTTTAAATGAAGTTTTTGTTCAGACCTTTCATTTTATTTCTTGATGGCATTTCTCTTTTTTCTCACTATTCAAATAAGAAATTTTTTGATTGATTCGTTGATGCGGTGATAAAACTTTTATAATAAAAGTTTAGTGTGCTTGTTTACATTGGCTTTACAGTTTTCAACCATTTATTTACTCATAATATAAAGTGCAAAAGAAACTAATTTGAAAGTTACATTTCAATTCTTATTTTGTTACGTATTGAGAATTTTATTCGAATATTCATTGTTTATCTTTTAATATTTTGATATAGAAAGACATCGCATTCTTATCCTACGTAAGGTAAAAGATATTTCTACCTGTGTTACATACAAAGCAGTCAAATATAAAGTCAAATACTCGCTAGCCGTTGGAAACAACATCTGTTTTTTTTTTAATCATTGTCAAATAGAGTAATATTTAGATCTGGAAACGCTCTTGATCAAATAGTACAAATTTTAAAACTTTCTCGGAAACAATTGATTAGAAAATGAATTTGTTCTCATGTAGTAGTGGCAGAACGGTGAAAAACATTTTTAATTGTTACGATGCACAAAATATAGTTTTTCTATCATAACTTTTTTTTATACATATTGTTTTGCAAAAGCCGAAAAAAATGATCTTATTGCGGAAATTGCGAAAGTGTGTGAGAGAAGAATATCGGAAAGGAGAATTACAACTTACGTTACACTCGTTGCAAATGAAGACTTGTGTATTAATAAAATGTTGTTTTTATTAATCAGGATTTAATGATGACATTATAAACAGATTTTGACGACGAAATGAATTTGTGTTAAGTAATTGTTTTATTTTTTTTTGTCCATGTTTATTGGCATGTGTTAATTTAACATGTTCCAATAGATTTTCTTGTGATTATAATATATTTCTATATAATAGGTGGTGTATATTATCATCATTATCAACATTTATTTGACGATTTGATTTTAAAAATTCAGGTATTAAATCAAATTTATTTATCAATATTATATATTTGCTGATATTCATTATTAATATATGGTTGAAGTAATTGAAATAAACGAAAAATATTCGATGGTACATGTTTATATTGTATAGACATGTTCGTGCATATTATTATGAATTATCTTTCTATTGAATTTTTTTAATCATCTTTAGGTCATGTTTTCATAACTTTATGATGATCTATTATAGAGCAAAACATTGTACAGGGTGGTAAATAATATTATTCCAGGGGGGTAACAGTATGATCTCGAATCGGAGATATCATGAATTTTATACCAAATGAAAGCCCGTGAAAAATGGGGTTTAGTGATAGTAAATAGTAAGACTTTGAAGAACTTTCGTGTACCAAATTTTTAAAAACAACGAAATTTTCTTTCAAAAACACGTTAAAAATCATTTTTCATACATTTTGAGACATTGAAAACGAACATTTTTTATGAAAACGAAAGAGAAATGATAACGATGATGATATATGACTATGACTCACACAATAAGATGGTTCTTTGGCGTTCTGTTCTTCTCTCCACGTGATACTAGTTATTTGAAAAATTTTTTCGTTCTCGGACTGTCTGAAAGTTATAGTCGAGTGAAATCTCAGTGTTTTTTCGTTTGTTATTTCAAATGGCTGGCGCTTATGATACCGAACAACAAAGAATGATTGATAGAATTAAATGCATTACTTTCCGAGAAGCTCGTGATGCTGGTGCAACATTTATAAATAGACAATGGATTGCCGACAAAATTCACCGTACGACTCGATTTGTTACAGAATGGTGGGAAAAATCGTGTGACCAATGTTTTGCTGATTATTCGAATGCTGGTCCTAAACTCAAGTTATCGAGAGCTGCTCAGGACATTATTCGTGAAGCAAGTGGTCACCAACGGAAAAGCGGTTCTGTCGTGGCGAAAGAGATTGCAAAGAAACAAAAAGAATATGTTACTCGACAAACAGTTAATAACTACCGTCGTAGGGAAGGATTAAAGCCTTTTCATGTTATTTCAAGACCGTTAAAATCTGAAACTCATATATCAGATCGATTATGGCTCTGTGATTGGTTGAAAGATTGGACTGAAGAAGATTTTCTTCATCTGGCACCATCAGATGAATTTTATGTTTGGACAGTTCGCAAACCAAATTATCAAAATGATAGGATTTGGGCAAAAAGTGTTGAAGATATTGAAGACGATGAAAGGTATCGCGAAATGGTTAAAAACCAAGCGTGTATCGGTATTTTTATCATTTTCACCGCGAAAAAAATGCATTGGGTGATTAAAGACAAAGGTGAATCTTGGACCGGTCAATATTTTCGTGACATTATTTTAATGCAACACGTATTTCCATTCCTCACCGACGAGGAAAACGTAATTGATCTGGATAATGTGATATTTGTTCACGATAAAGCACCGTGTATGCGAGCAAACATGACTCAACATCTGATTAGAGATAACAAAATCGAGTTTTGGGGCAATGATATTTGGCCTGGTAATTCGCCCGATCTCAATGCGGCGGAACATATTGGATCAATAATGAAAGATGAAGTTGAACAAAAAATGTTATCGGAAACTGGACATAATCGATATAGTGAAGACACACTTAAAAAGCACATTGCGGATGTTTTGACGGACATGGAAGAAAATACCGAATTGTTTGAAGCTCTTTTATGTTCGTATCCATCTCGACTTCGTGCAGTAAAGAGTGCTAATGGTCGTCATACTGATTATTGATTGTACTCAATAAATAATAAGAAAATAAACAGTTGTACAACATATAGTTTAGCCCCGAACTTTTTCGATGAACTGATTTTATAATATTTTATGTCGATAAAAATCGTAACGTTTGATAAATTAATACAAGAAAGTTCTTCAAAGTCTTACTATTTACTATCACTAAACCCCATTTTTCACGAGCTTTCATTTGGTATAAAATTCATGATATCTCCGATTCGAGATCATAGTGTTACCCCCCTGGAATAATATTATTTACCACCCTGTATCATCAATGTCGAGAAAGAGTCGGTAGCATGAGTTTGTAATTTCCATCACAGGCTTAGATTTAGCCGCTCACCATTCAAACTTATCAATACAATGAATGTCATCATTATTAACATAAATGTCACTATTGGATATGACAAAAAGGCTATTTGGTCTGATTGAATAATTGTTCACATATTACAGCCCAACATAGATCGAGAAATATTACGAGGTCATCGTAATTCAGTTTTTTAAGTAACATGTAGACACTGTTATTGATATACGTGAAAGTACCGCTAGGATCGAAGGAAACCTAATGAGAGCATTTAACTACAAAACTCTTCATTCTGCTTCCACATCGCATTCGAACAGAACTTATGAGAAGGTCCGTCAGAATACGAAACATTATGGCTGAAAGAAAATATTTGATCTTTGATTTAATTATCTTAAAACAAAGACTTCATGAATATATTACTAAATCTAAAACATCACCTTGATTTAACAATTTCTTGCTCAATTACGAGATACATACTGATTATAAACATGATGGATTTAGGAGAAACATAGTCATTTTTTCGTACTTTTTTTTATTATACTTAGTAAAATCAGTCGTGTACTTTATTGTTGCATTCTCAAAATGTAGTTCATATCGATACTCTTTTAACAAGACTTCTTGTTGTAATTAAATAGACTAATCTCAACATTAACCGTTATAGACATCATTTCATTCTTGAATTATTTATCTTGAGATTGTTCGAAAAAGAATAACAATAAAACCAAGAAGAAGAAACTTTCTTATTTAAAAAAGAAAACATTTTTTTCACCGTATTTCCTTTTTATATTCCTTTTTTGTCTTTCGGTTAAATTATCACCGTGAATCTGTGAAAAAACGTTAGGCTTAACCGCCCATTCCATGTCATTATGCTGAAACGAAAAAAAAATCATTCAATAATAGATGAAAAAAAATAAACTCACAGCATTTAATGTCAAATCCATTACACAAAACGTGTCACGGAAAATTCTCTAGTCCCGACCTGCTTTTCCGTCATTTATACAGTAGGTACACTCTTTTTCAACTGCAAATACTAATACATGACCTAAAAAGAAGTTACAATGTCAGATTATTTTCATTTATGACAATTCTTTCATTACTATCACGATCATTATCAACACTATGACTAATAGATTCTTCATTATTATCAATAATTTTCATTCTACTTCCACTACAAGTATCTAAAACATGAATAACATATAAAATATAAAAGAATTTGGCATATTAAATACAATTCAAAAGTCAATCTTACTACTAGTAGTTGCATGACAAAAATGACAAGTATCAACAATTGAATCATTTGGACGATTATCATTTTCACTAATACCAACATTACGATTCATTTCAGTTCGACTATCACGATATGCAAGATTAGAAACATCTAAAATATCAAAGAACTTATAATATTAAAGATAATTAAAGAATCAATTTTTACCGTGAGTAGTTCAATGACGTCCCTGATGAGCATTAGTTGACTTATTACCATGTTCACCAGCACCAATATTTTTATTTATTTCAGTTTTTGGGGTGTGAGTGTGGGTTTGATTAGGTGTGGCATGTGAAGTGGTGTCAGTGTTGCACTCTTCTTAAACCTACATCCACACCCGTTAAAGTGACAGAACGGTTCAAACCATAATTTTGTACAATTGTAGAATAATATTTCATTTTTGAATAATGACGTTGAACTACTAGTCAAAAACACTTGATATTGTTCAGTTAGATCAACTGTAGCAGCCCACGAAAGTAACATTTGACTATATAGTAATATTTGTTTCTTTTATTCAGTAAAAGTAAAACTTGGAGTAGTAGTATTTTTCAAGTCAATGACTAGCATGGAATCATTTTCTTCCGTTAATCGAAGACAATATGATGTGATCTGATGTATAGGCATAAATACTTCATCATCATCAAAGTTTCAGACCTGAAACGCTGATTATATGATAGAAGACAATATCTATCTGGGCTATTATCAGTACTGTACATATTAAACTGACGTTCTGTCACTGGTTGCATTCCTGATAGGATTAATGCGTAGATCACTAACATATTGGAAATGAAAATTAGTATTTAGTAAAGAAAAATAAATAGATTGTTCTCCTTTTATTTGTTTCGTTGTCCTTTTACCGCTGTACCATATTTCCATTTTCCGTTGGCATGTTCAAATAAATTATCAATGGATGAAGTTCACCGTTTTTCATCTATTTAATATATGTCGTGCATGACTTATGAAGAATGCTTGCAACTACGATCATAAAGAAATATTTTTTATTGTTCATGAGACTGTTTGAAATGATCAATACAATTTAAAAAGCTAATAGCGGGTGTGGGTATGTTGGTTTAAAAAGAGTAACACATCCACCCCACATTGGCTCACATTCATCTACATTCACACCAATATCCTTTTTTTCGTCATGAGTTAGAATTTCGTATTTCCTGAAGAAAAAAGCTGGTTTATTCCATAATGAAGAGCATAATGAAAAAGCTAGCAAACGTGTGTATCTATAAAAAAAATGGTCGACTGTCGAATAAGTTCACTTTGTATGAGGAAATTTTTCAAACAAATCGCGCAGTTTGTCGATTGGAGCGGCCAAGAAAGCGGCAACAGTTTCGAATGGCGGCTTGTTAGGTACACCTGGATGAGCCCTACGTGACCACGATAGATGAATAGAGAAAAACAGTATACTGAAAAGGAGGAAAAATTATATACCGTGTAGGAACAAACATTTTCGTTCGTTCTAACGATCGAGCAACTGAAGCATTCAATTCAGGTGAGATGGCCTTTTCGAATTTGGGCAAATCACTGTCTTCTTCCCTGCATTTTACAAGAGAAATATATAGAGAAAACGAGCAAAAGAATGTTCATGTTCGTACTCCTTGACATGATCATTTAAATTCTTTATGAGCTTGTCGAATGTTGAACGATAGTGATCATCTGTCACCGAGGACGTTTCTAGTAAATGTAAGAGGGCTTTGACCTATTCATGTCAAAAGAAAATATTAGAAAGAGGCTGAGAAACGACAACAACGGACTTACTTCCTGATGTTGAGCACGATCTTTATCAGCTATTTTCTTTCCCTGAACACCCAAATACTTTTCAAAAGCCGGGTAGAGAACAAGTTCTTCGCCGATGAGTTGTCGAGCGAGTTCCCACCGAAATAGATTGGCCCAACGTTGTTGTTCTGCGACGTTGCCTTCTGCCGACACGTATTTCTACGATTTTCGGCATTGGTTGATGAGTTCACTAAAAGGCAAAGACAAACCTGATAGGCATCGTTCATTTCAGCATGACCTTTTTTGATCATAGCAGAGATCGATGACGAAGATGAAACCATTCGAGCAGCATTGCTCGCTAGATGATATGAAGATCGATGTAAGAGACGAAGTGAGGCACAAAAAGATTGCATTGCTTCTGCTTGCAAGTAGAATAACGAATGACGCGACCAAAATAGTTTTGTTTTGTTTTTCTTTTGCGCGTTCTGCGCTTATGTCAATGAATGCAAAAAAAACCTTGGCCTTGATTATGTATTCATGTTCTCCTTTATGTATTCTTTCCTCCATGAGGGAGCTGTAAAATGACAATTTTTTTCTCGCGATGAATTGGAACACTCAGCGTTTAATTTAATTTAATTTTCTTGTTATTTTAAAAGCTATCTAATAAAATGTGCTTTTCTCTGTAGTTACAATTGTTGTACACGATGTAGATACTTCCATGGCAACCAACACTCGTAATCATGTCTGATGGAGGATGAAGCCATCGTAGACGCTATAAAAAATGCCTTGTGTCTTACAAGACGGTTCAGCCGTCTAACATTTACTTTGACGTGTAGTTGCCACTAAATGCGTCTTGTATTTAGACACGCAAATGAAATAGACAAGAACGCGTCTTGATCTCTTCTTTAGTGTATTAGTGCCCTCTTTCATTAATCAAATCAACACGACATGAACGACTGATCACTACGGTTGACTAATCGCTTCTGTTTATTTCCTTTCTTTATTTTCTTTAATTTATTTTCAGATGTGGAAAAAATAAATGGTACTTAATACGTTATACTAATTCAATATTTCTTTTAGAAAAATACTAGTGTTCGTGGTACCCTCTACGTAGTGAACTATTTTGTTTATAATATTCAGCTTGGTGATGTACATTTTTCTTTGGTGTGTAATTTTCACAATTTTCTTGTTCTAGATCTTTGTATTTTTGAGATTCTATGAACTAGTTTTTATTGTTAAAACACTGTAAAATACTGTGAGGACCTAAAAAGCATGGTCATTGTTTTCCGTATTTTTTGCACTTCCATATTTCATGAACGGATCATACTATAGAGTTAATGTTTTTATCAGAATGAGATCTCATTGAGTGCTCACTCTGATAAAAAAATCAGCTGTCTAGGAGGCGTTGCGCCTAAGCCACGACCGACGTTGCTCAATTGACGTCACTGATTTGGCTCATATTTTCACAGTAGGTAGACCTAACATAGTTAGGAAGAAACTCAAAATTTCAGCTCAAACAGATGAGCCGTTCTGGAGATATAGCCGATACAAGTATGAAGGGGTGAGGTAAATATGACGTACTTTTTAGACCAACGCACTCCAGTAAATTTTGATTTTTTAATGAACGACAAGAGTTAGAACAGAAATTTTTTCACCATAAATACTATCAATGATGAACTATCTTTTGGTGGGATTGAAAGTATATAATCGCAGAATTTTGTTTTGACAGTATCTTGTACCATTTTCAAAAATTGTATCTGCATATGTACTAGGACTTAGTCAGATCAACGTGATAGAATAGTTTGAAAATAGTCTCGTTTAAAAGAGCACATCAAATTGCGTCGAATACCGTTTTCAGAACTTTGGGACATTGAATTTCGGTATAGAAAATTTTTTCAACAATATATAGTTGTTTTTATCAAAAAACCCTCTGTTTCAAAAAAAATAGGGATACTCAATATTTTTGATATGTCATTACTATATGTTGTCGTTTCTAGAAAAGTAATTATATATTCTGATAGCGCGTAAAATTCTCTACAATTCTATATATATATACATCCTGAGTGACACTTATTTAATAAAAAAATAGCTAATACAGTAAAAGCACTATCATCGTCAAATTTATGTGAACGGTATTGTTTGTTCTTTTGTTTTCATTTATTTTTCTGAAATTATTTAACTATAGATAAAAGATATTACATATGTAATTATATATTTCGATAGCGCGTGAAATTTCCTATCATTCTGTACATTAAAACCTATTGATTTTTTATCATTTTCTGACCAGGATTTGAGATATTGTCGAAGGTACTTGAAAATGCTGTACGTCTGGGAAATTATACATATCTCAAAGAAAATATATTAAAAGCTATGCATTTTTCCGATTGTTTAATGCTTCTTCTTATTAGAAGTAGTTTTTAAAAAGACTATTGATCAATCTTTTTACTCTGGTATCAATAAACTGAAATCATTACTTTTATAATTCATATAGATCAATCGTCATAGAATGAAGAAATATAAATCAAAACAAAAGAAGTTAAAATCAAGAGAATTACAAATAAATACTAAAATAAAAAAGGAGTTTAAATATGAGAATCAATAATTGATTTTTTAAATTCTTCCAACTTTGTTGCCACTTCTAGAGGTGTGGGTGTGAGTGTGGGTGCGGGGTGTGCGTGGGGGTGGGGGTGGGTGTAGGTGTGGGGTGTGTGGGTGTGGGGTGTGGTGCGGGTGTGGGGTGGGGGTGGGTGTGGGGGTGTGAATGTTGATGAATCATATGGTTACACAGACACCCACACCCACCCACACTCACCCACACCCCACACCCTCTAAGCTAATCCATTGATAATCTTTCAATTCAATTGTTGATGATTGGGATTTCAATCGATTGAGCAGATTAAAATCGATTGTCCGATTAAAATCCAATTTTAGTTGGGTGAATCAAAACTAATTGATTGAGTTGATTCATTTTCCAATCGTTTATAGAATTTTAATCGGATTCTTCTAGAAAAGATAGAAGTTTTGTTTGAAAAATCGGATTTGTCCTTCGCTAATCAAAAATAATCTGGATTTTCTTCGGAATATTTTTCACTGGGTGGACTACTAGGCATGCACCGAGCCCGAACTATAGTTCGGGGTTCGGGCCGAACGGTTCGGGTTCGGGTTCGGGCTCGGACTCGGTCTCAAAGTTCGGGTTCGGGCTCGGGTTCGGTCCCAGAGTTCGGGTTCGGGCTCGGGTTCGGTCAAAGAGTTCGGGTTCGGTTCGGGTTCGGGTTCGGATTCGTATGATCAAAGGTTAAACTGTTCGTAGTTTAATAAAAAAAGGTAACATTTTTTATATATATATCTTATTCAACACAATGCACACACTCTCAAAGTAGCGGAAGAAGGAGGGACACGGCTGAAGATATTACTGATCTATATCATACATATATCACGGAAAACAGCATGTCAGAACTGAAATGAATCGATTTTTGATCTTTTTACATAAAACCATTGCTCACAATACAGAAATAATTCTCTGTGACGCAAAATATTATGGATAACATCTTATCTCCAAATAAGTTTTTGTCAAAGAGAAAAGAATTCTTGGGTGACTAATACGATAACTGTCTAATTATATCAGCCTATAGAAGAGTCCCTCTATGCAGTGTAATAGATTCATTAAATTATG